TCTTTAAATTAGAAACAATCATAAATAAATTATCCTTTAATCTTTAATTTAAAAAAATCAAAATGCAAGTTTTTTTTCTCCTAGGGTTTGGGAGTGTTTCTTTTCTCTTCCAGGTGGGAGTGCGGCGGCTGGTGGTGTCTAGTAGTTTTGTCCTGATGGCTGAATCCAACGTGAAGGCTCTGACGGCAGCACTGGGAAAGCAATTATCTTTGACAGCAGAGGAAGATGTTGGGCTTGATTTGGATGATGGAAACTGTCATGAACCTGAGGAAGGAACCTCAAAGTGGTGCATTGTCGGTACAGTCTTGACCCGGAAGCGCTATAATATGGAAGCGATGGAGTCCAAACTAGCTGGGGTTTGGCGACCGGTAAAGGGTATGCATATGAGAATCCTGGGTTACAACCACTTTGCTCTTTACTTTTTTCATCCAGTAGACATGAATCGTGTGATGGCAGCGGGTCCTTGGCGCTTTGCTGATCACGTCATGGTCCTGAAAGAGACTCAGGGGGGGACGCTGGTGTCCAAGGATGAACTTTTTGAGGTCCCTTTCTGGATCCAAATTCATGGTCTACCTCCAAGTCGGATAACTGAAGCAACAGGTAGAAGAATTGGTGTCGAGCTTGGGCATCTCCTTGAGGTTGATACAGGGGACGGTCATGTATGGGGTTTGGATTTTATTCGTGTGAGAGTCCTCATTGACTCAAGGAAGCCTTTGTGTCGAGGCATGAAGCTTTCTCTAAAAGGTGATATGCTCTGGGTTTCTTTTTGTTATGAACGCCTTCCGCATTTTTGCTATTGCTGTGGCATGCTGGACCATGTTGAACGAGAATGTGAGCTGGGTCTGGAAATGGAACGTATGGGAGTAATAGAGCGTTCTTATGATGACAAGCTCTGGGTGGTATCGAAGCGTGAGAGACAAGAGGCTACTGTGAATAATGGAAGATAGCTATGTGATGCCACCGGAAACCCCATCGGCGAGGACTCACGGGGGAGATGTCCAGCTTCCAAAATGGCAAGATGGCCTGTTTTGGAATCCCGCGGTTGTCACGACGCGGTAGCTAGCATAAATGACCGTGATTACTGGGGAAATAAGGAGATTCTGGCTGAACACAAAGCGGATTTGATGGAGAGACAACATATTTTGGGGGATTCGCAGCAAATCATAAGCACAAACAACGAAGTTTCTACTTTGGGAAATCTAGATGGATAGCTTCATAGGCAAGATGCCCCCTTACTGCAACATTCCAAAACAAGTAGGCCAAGGACTTTCGTTGATGTAGAGGGCAAACAGAACCATTCCCACCAAGAGCCCAACTTGACTATCAAGGCCTAAGAATCAACCTCAATCTTCATGTTCTCTTCAGCCCAAAGTGACAACCCATCAAAGGCTAGATCCTTGAAGAGGGAAGCTAGGGAACGGTGCCACCGGGGCCCACATCCATCACCTTCTTCGGGGCAAATTAAAAGGAAGGAAAAGCAATTCCAAACCATTGTGGCTGAGGAACTCGAAGGTCTGAAGCGGGTAAAGGGCACTAATGATGTAGGGGACGCTGTAATCTTATTGGCGGGTATTGCTATGCAGGCCCGCCAGTCATCATGAGTCTCTTCTGTTTGAACTACCGAGGGCTTGGGAACCCTCGTGCAGTTCGATGCCTCATCGAATTGGTGGGGTTAAAGCAACTTGCAGTAGTGTTCTTATGTGAGACTCTATTGGATAAAAGGGGTATGGAGAAAGTTCGACGAAGACTGGGTTTCACTCATTGTTTTGTAGTGGACAAAGTAGGGCGCAGTGGTGGTTTAGCTGTGCTTTGGAAACTTGACACCAAATTATCACTACTCTCTTTCTCTCAGAATCATGTTGATAT